AGAGAGGAAGGAAGGAAAGGAGGGAGGGAGGGAGGGAAGGAGGGAAGGAAGGAAGGAAAAAGAAAAAAATATTATTTTTTAAAAATTAAATAAAATTATCTGTAGCCTAATATGAGGTCTCTTTGCCTCCCTACAGCCCTCTCCTTCTTTCCTGTGGTAAAAAGCACAGGAACAAAAAGCAAACAAGAAAAGTTCAAGGCCTGCTCTTGGGCTGAGTATCTGTCGGTCGTTGGTTTTAAGTGGATACTGTCTCTTTAAATTTCGAGGTGCTCTATGCACATGTGTAGTAGAACCCTCCGAGGGTGGGGCTGGAGTATCCACCAGCTCAGGCACCCCTATAGTCAGCAGAATGGAGGTACGCAGAGAGCAAGGGACCAACGAAAAGATACCAGAAAAAAAAGAATGTCCACACCTCTATCTCTGCGGCTCTGTCAGTTGTCCGTGACTGCTCTGATCCTTTCCCCGCTTGGCCCCACACAAAATGGCTGCTCCTGGAACAACTGAGTGTCCCGAACCAGGAAGCAATGGATTTTTTGCTTCTGCCAACCTTCTAAATATTCCTTTATATGTGGTTCAGAGTACTGGGACCATTCCCTGAGCCTTCTTGGTCTTGTATTCTGTGTTGTTCTCAGCAGAGCTCATCACTACACTTCCACCCAATCCACCATCTTTTTCCGTAACTCTGAATTAGCTTTTAAGGCAAGTTTCCTGATACCAGAGAAAAGATTGAAGTTGTCAAAGATTTCATTTTGTTGAGATCCACTATCAATACTCAAGCAAGCAGCAATCATGAAATAAAACAATGTATTTCTTGTCTTGGGGAAATTTTTAAAGTGTTCAAGAGCAAAGATGTCAGTTTGAAGACTAAGGTGCTCCTGATCCAAGCCATGGTGTTTTCCGTAACCTCATATGCTTGTGAGAGTGGGGCAGTGAAAAAGAAGACTGTAGAAGAATTGATGCATTTGATCTATGGTGTTGGAGGAGAATATTTAAAATAACCAGGGACTGCCAAAGAACAAACCAATCTGTATTCAAAGTAATACAGTCAGCATGCTCCTTAGAAGCCAGAATGGTGAGACTTTCTCATGCTTCAGACATATTATCAGGAGGGACAAGTGCTTGGAGACGGACAGCATGCTTGGTAAAGTGGAGGGTCAGCAAAAACGCAGGAGACCACCCCCTACCCCCCTATTCCCCCCAACGAGATGGATTGGTAAAGTGGCAAGAGTAGTAGGCTCAAGCATAACAGTGATTGTGAGGTGGTACAATTCAGGCAGTGTTTTGTTCTGTTGGTGCCATAGGGTCGCTGTGAGTCAGAACCAGTTTGACTCACAACCACAAGAATATTTGTCTGCTGTCTTACCTTGACAGTCTATTCACTACTGTGAAGAGAGTGGCCTAGGGCTCTCATTTAGACTGTCCTTTTCCTCCTTCAAGCCCCATGTTGTGGTTGTTGTTGTTAAGTGCCTTCGAGTCTGGTTCTGACCCTAGCAACCATGTATAGGTGAGCTTGACCCACAGGCCTCCCGGTTCAAGAGGACTTTGTGGTCCAGCACATTAACTCAGCAGTGCCACACCAGGACTCCTCAAGCCCCACACTAATACTCATTTTAAGCTGTTATGCTGCTCTTTCCAGGGGATGTAAATGACTGTGTCTGCTACCCTGCATCTATGATTACCACTCCTGCAGCCAGTGAGTGTACCTCTGTGCGTGAACTGTTGACTGGCCAGGTGCATGTGATGTGCTTAGGGCTCGGGGCTGGACACTGGCTTCCATGCCCTGCTGGTTGCTGCTCCCCTGGGCATTTCTTACTGTGCTTTTAATCTTTGGTTCTTTCCCCTCTCCCACACCCTAACTTTTGAATTAAAAAGACTGATCTTTTATAAATATCATTATTTAATCAACCCTTTTTATCTTGCAGAGACCTGGCTGCTGTAACAAATTGGGTATAAGCTCCAAATCTTTACTTGTTCTTTTGGTCTTACAGAAAAGATTACCTCCACCCCGTTTTCAGGTCCATAGCTATTTTGGGCATGTGATAGTCAGAAAGTTGGGGTTATATTAAGGTTTTTAGTTCATTCCAATCTATAGAGATCAGGAAATGCCTTCTATAGAGAAAAGCGTATTCTGACTGGCTTGTTTAACCTCCCACAGTCTTAGAGATAATAATGTATTAATCATGTTCCATATTGTTTCATAGCGTCAATTCAGAATTTTGTGGTAATTATGTTTAGCCTTTCTGGATATTTTATGCCATTTTGTAGAACTCTAGTTCTCTTCAACAGAAATATTTTGTTGCCAAATAGCTGTATTTCCTTATTTCATATAGGTTGTTGTTGAAGAAATCTGGCTGTCGAACACCACGAATTGAATTGGAAGAGATGGGACCCTCATTGGATCTGGTTCTAAGGAGGACACACCTGGCTTCCGATGACCTTTATAAGTTATCTATGAAAGTGCCAAAAGCCCTCAAGGTACGTGACTTGAAGATTAGTGTGTCTTTATTTGCATAGTCCATTCTTGTTTCCCAAAAGGATTTGCAGTATATCACATTAAAGGAATACATAATGAATACAAATAATTATATAGATATAACCGGACTCCCAGAGGCATGAAAAGGAGGAAAAATGGAGTGAGCCAAGTATGACAGATAATCACAGAGTTTCAGAAACCAGGCATGAAATTTGACTGAGAACTTTGTGGTGGCCAAGACTGCCAGTTTTCAGTAAAGAAACCAGCCCACAAAAATTTCTTAACTTTCTTCAAACATTTAATAAGAGTAACGAGAATCATTTAGGACATCATGAAGGCTGGGGATTTAGAGCACAGAGTAGATAAACCATATCTATATATGTGTTTTGGTTTTTAAACATTTTTTAGAAAGTAGTAGAAATGTCATATCTGGAATGCCAATAAAGATAGAAATGATAATCACAGGTTCTTAAGCTAAACAGAAAATTCTCTTATTGCGTAATAGTACTAGGGTAGTCATAGGCTTACTTCCCAGGTAGCACTGGGGCCTGTTCAAAATGCAGAATCTCAGACCCCACCCTAAATTTCATTAATTAGCACCTGCGTTTTTAACAAGATCCCAGGTGATTTGAATACACATTTAGGTTTAAGAAGAAATGTCTGTGTGAGTTAAAACTTCGTAGCATTGAAAGGTGCTCACTAATGAAAATGGTTTAGTAAATCAGTTTTTTTTTAAATCAGTTCAGAACAGTGTTGTTGTTAAGTGCTGTCAAGCCAGTTCCAACCCATAGCGACCCTGTATACGGTTTCTAAGGAGCAGCTGGTTAGTAAATCAGGTTTTTAAAATCAATTCAGAATAATAGAGACCATTAAATATCAGTCATGGTTTATTTTTTCATTTATAGACAAAGAAGAGGAAAAACATCTCCCAGGATACTTTCGGTACAACTTATGGAAGGATTCACATGCAGAAGCAAGACCTAAGTAAATTACAAACCAGGAAAATGAAAGGATTGAAGAAGCGCCCTGCAGAAAGAGTAACAGTTGAAGACGAGGAGAAAAAAATCAAAGAGAATTAAAAAAAATTAATGAAACTTAGTCATCAACTGCAGTTTTTGTTTGTTCCTCTTCAAACATTTAGTCCATTCAGACTTTCTTACAAGATTTTATTGTATATTTTTTAATGTGACAGTTTAACCTATATATTATGCATGTAATTATGAAAAATAATATGCTACTATTAAGTTTATGGAGTTCTGGAGTGGCACTGTGTGTTTATGTGCTGGACTGCAAATTCGGCAGTTTAAGTTCATGCTGCTCCTTGAAAACCCTATGCTATGGGTCGGAATCGACTTGATGGCCTTAACAAAAAATTAAGGTGATGGAATCTTGGTGTGGTGCTGTAGGATAAGCACTGGACTGCTAACCTCAAGGTTAATGGTTCAAACCTACCAGCTACTCCTCAAAAACCCTATGCAAGGTCACTGTGAGTCAGAACCGACTTGGCAGCACTTAACAGTATTAACTGTAAGCCTCCTACTAGTGCCCTTGCACTCTGGTGTAGTGCCATTTCTCTGTATGATACTAGCACACCCTTGAAAGTGGGTGGTTGAGTGAAGAGGGATAACGGATAATACCCAGGATAAACATGGGTGGTTTTAGAGAATTCTGAATTAAGCATTAGATAAAGGAAGAAGGCCATCATGGTAGTAGAAATGACCCAAACGAGCTGTACTCACACTCAGTATGAACTACCTGGAAAGCTAACCCCATCTCTGAACTTCACCTAACACTTGATTTTTATTTTTACCTTACTGTTATTTTTCCTGAAATCCTACCAGCTAGAGATTCACTTGAGGTTTTAAGCTTTTATCTCTTAACACTGGTGTCTTGACAGGGATGCCCATTATCTGATCATTGATTCATTGCAGCTAATTATTGTAAAGGGATTCTGTTACTAAGTTGAACTTCCTCCCTCTCCGAGGGAAAGGACATTGATGGAGGTAGAAGTGAGAAAGAATGGGTGAGTTTAAAGCACAGGGCACTTGAAGGTGCTAGGTAGCTAAAGATTGCATGATGGCCCTGGGTTTTTGCAGACAGAGTAAGAAGAAACCAAAGCCAAACTGAGAGAGTTTCTTAACCAATGGCCCTGTGCCTAGAAACATGGGCAGGAGCTTCCTACTTCTTTTTCCTAATGTTACATACTAGTTCTCCTAAAGTGAAGAAGTTAGGTTTCTTTTTAAGGAGTCCCTGATGAAGATTGTTATTTATACAAGTGCAAGCCAGTTCTGTTGTAAAAGCATAGACCATGGTTTGTTACTGGATGTGGAAGTGTTTTTGTTCTCATTCATGTCAAGGAGTCCTTCCTGTGTGTGCATGTTTTGTGTATGTGATGGTGATTTTGCTCGGCTACAGGGCAACAGTGTCAATACAAAACAAAAGGTTTTACCTTTTGTATTCTATCCCTTTTATGGACCCATTTGTCTTAGTTATCTAGTGCTACTGTCTGGTAGCGTAGTGGTTGCGAATCGGGCTGCGAACCTTAAGGTCAGCGGTTCGAAACTACCAGCCGCTCCACGGGAGAAAGATGAGGCTTTCTACTCCCGTAAAGATTTATACCCTCGGAAACCCTGTACAGGGTCGCTATGGGTCGGAACCGACTCAACAGCACTTAACAACAACAACAACAACTGTAACAGAAATACTAGAAATGGATGGAGAACAAACAAACTTATTCTCACCATTTAGGCTAGAAGTCCGAATTGAGAGTTCCAACTCTGGTGAGAGGTCCTTGTCTCCTTTCAGCATCTGTAGGTCCAGCGTTCCTTGAAGATCTCCATGTGGCTTGGCATCAGTCTTCTGTGAATCTAGGAGCTTCACAGTGCAGGGACTCCAGGTTCAAAGAATGTACTCCATTCTTGGCCCCCTCTCTGCTCACTTCTTTCTCCTTTCATGTCTCAAAAGAGATTCAGTCAAGATACAACCTAATCTGCATCTGACCTCATTAACATCATGGAAGTGATGGTGTACACACAAAGCGTGATTAGGTCAGGCAATCACATCAGGGAGGTGATTGCATCCTATTAGATCCCATCCTGGGGGTGATGAATGCATCTTAACTGCTGTTTTAACCACTGAGAATCCTGACCAATCAAAATTGACACAAAACCTTAATAATCAACAGCCCACCCCTTGTCAAGTGGATATATATATCAAACCATACATAATTTCTAAATAAAGACAGTTAAAAATTCATACTTGCACCTAACATGAGTACAACAGAAAACACACTAGCCCCATTGTTAGTCCAAAATTCAAGCAGACTATACTGATCATGGGTTTCTTTGAGTTTCAGTCCTAGAAGATGTTTTCCTCTAATGGGCTGACCTTTCTTTCCTGGATGACTCTAAAGTAAATAGCTTGCTTGATATTCAAACAATTCACTTCTTTCCTGCAGGTCTTTCAATAAGAATCTTCTGTTCTCCCAGCACTTCTGGCCACCAACTGCCTTTTAGTCAATCTAGGCGTTTACTATTGGACAGCCTAGTACTCTTCCAGCTGCTATTTATCTGATTCCAAAACTGCTTCCACATTTTAGGTGTTAGAGCAGTGCCCTGCTTTCCTAGTACTAAATTCTGTGTTAGTTTATTGCTGTGGTCCTGGGATATCTACTCTTTCGTTTTGCTTTGTAGTTGACTTCATTATAAATTGATATTTCGGGTTCCCTATTTTCAGTCTCATAAGTTTGTTTAAATACTTCTGTATCTGGTTTGAGTTCTAGATGGTGGTGTCATATATGATAATCTCAGGTTATTGTCTGCTATTGTTGGTTCTTAGTCCAAGTAATACCCTTTAGCATTTTTTGTAAAGTTACTTTTGTTGTTGTTGTTAGGTGCCATTGAGTCGATAGCGACCTTATGCAGAGCAGAACGAAATTTGCTTTGGTCATTACAAATTCCTTAATTTCTGTTCATCTGGAAATGTCATAATTTTGCCACTGTATTTGAGGGACAGCTTTTCTGGGTTTTTTGTTTTGTTTTGTTAAGGTTTTTTTTTTCTTAAGGTTTTTATTGTGGATTGAGTGAAAGTTTACAGGGCACATCATCAGTTTCACATTCAACCATTCATATGACTTGTTTCATTACATTGATTATAATCCCCTCCATACATCATCAGTTAACAGTGTTTCTCTCTATCCTCTTTAGCTTTTTTTTTTCGGAGGGCGTGGGAAACTTTGCCTTTTTGGAATTTACAGTCTTGGCTTTTAGGGAAGGTTTTTACATTTATCTGTGGATATCCAGGGCTCATGTATGCAATTACTAACAAGCATAACTGAATAATCAGATGAGGGATAGTTTGCTAAGGTTTTCTTTTTTAAAAAGACAAACAAACACTCAGGCATATATAATTTACACCTCCAAAGGGCACATTGTGCAAGTCTACTTCCTGGCCACCATCTCTTAGTCCCTCTCTTTCCATGAATCTAGAGTCCCCAGGTGCTCCCCTCTCCATGACCCCATCTCTGCCTCCATCTCTGGCGTTGCTGCTTCTCTGGATAAGGTCCCGTGTTAACACTTGTGCTCTTCTCCCTAGATAGTACTAGGGTCCTCTGTTTCTGGATTGTGAGATTAAAACACGCCCCTGTTTTTGTTACAAAACCTCTACCTTTTCAATTGTGACAGTCACAATTAGTCATGTAACAATTATTCACTTTTGAATCATGCAAATCTTATCCCCATCTTCTTTTGCCAGAACCATCTAGACAAGATGAAAACTATTCAGTGGGGATTCTTTCTTCCCCCTTAAACTCTTAAACTAAACTCCCTCTTGAAACCTCGTAAGCCAGTCACTTCATGTCCTTATCACCTCCTCATTTTAGGTAGTGAATGTCCAAGTTGCCTGTCCTTATCTATCCTGTAGAGTATAGCACTGATACTTGATGTGAAGACTGCTTCCCTCTCTTAGTATTTAGAGTTACTACCTCCATGAGTATAGGTAAGGTTCATCAAATTTTAGAAATATACCCTTGCTTATCAAAAAAATTTTTTTTTTTTTTTGTAATCTTCCTGTAGTTGAGTTCTGATTATGAAGTCATAGAGGCTAGGTCAAATGAGTACTGTCTGCAAGTTGGGGTGTTCTTGTGCGTCTCTCTTCACTTTGTATCAGCTGGATGCTTCACTCTCAGCTCTAGCCTTCTGTGGCTGTGTCCTTGTCTGTGGGCTCAGGTGTCCCCAGGTCTCACCATACTTTGGACCAATCAGCCCCTTCTCTCATCTCCAGGTAAATGGGAGTCAATGGACTGTGGTTGAAGTCAGCCCATTTCTTCATTGCTGCCTTTCCCCCTCTTCCACTCACTAGTAGACCCGTGTGGATGCCGGCAAGCTTACATGCCTGTTCATGTGTTCCCATTGAGTTTCAGTCTTAGAGGGGAGTTTGTCCTAAAGGAACTTGATTGCTTGCCTTGATGGCTTCCTGGTGAACAGCTTGCTTATTCCTGTAGTAACCATTCATGCTGACCTTTTTGTTTTGGGTTTTTCTGGATGATCTTTCTTGAAGATATATCTTCTGTCACTATAGCTGTTTCAGGTTGGTTTCCTTGTGCATGCTAGTGGCTGTGTCCCACCTTGTAAGGTTCTGGATGGGACTTACGATTCCACCTAAGGTCCTATACTCTGCAAAGGCTTTGCAAGAGGCTTATTTCACTGGGCAAGTTCTAGAACCCCTTTTAGGTATTCTAATCAGTTATAGGCTGAAAACAGGCTTACAAGTTTTCTGTAATCATGTTTCCCGGCATCCCTTTCTATCCCACTCAAGTGTCTGTTTTACAATAGTAGGCAAGGGAAATCAATATTCATAAGACAGTTAAGCATTTTAGTATTATATCCCCTCTTGAAACTATGCCTAGATCTCTGTATCACAGAACCCTGTTCAAGGTTGAGCATGCATCACTATTTACCTCTGTCCCACTTAGGCCATGCAAACCTGTCTCAATATTCCCCTATCTATCTTGTTCTGCCTCCTCCCCCTTCTTGTATTGCCCTCCCCAACACCTGAACTAAACCCCCCATCCTAACCCCATTGTTGTGGTTACCTTGTTA